AACTAAGGTATTAATTTGGGGACCAAATTCTTTTAAAGGGGGATAATATGTTATCTAGGATTTCTCCCGCACACGCAAGCTAGCAGCCCCAGTCCCATTCATACATGTGACAAAATCGCCCGTGTCCCACGCTCCTATTAATACAATTTAGAGACACAGGTCATTATTTTTACTCCTCTTTTCACCCTCTCAACTGTCGTCAAACTCTCCTTCCTCGGTTCTCCTCACAATAACAGCTTTCGATGAGTTCCTCTCCTTGTGTAATGAGCTTTTCCTCCCCTTCTTTCTTCCTTCTCTCCTTCTCTTTGTAATGTTTTTAATAATCTATGTAAAAGTTCTTTCAACTTCAGTTGTGAGACTAAATTTAATATGTATTACATTTCACATTTCCTTAAGCTTCTCATAGGAGTTTTGTATTGCCTTGGAGAGAAGGTTTATTTAAGCTTGATGTTCTCTTAATCAAACCCTAGGTTATATTTTTACATCGTGTTATTTCATAATTAATTTTGGTGTTTATGGTGTGACTTAGGTTGATTGGGATACTCTTCATTATGCCTCGACAAACATGCTTAATACTATTTTGGCTTCGCTTATTATAGGATCGTCACTTGATGGAGTCCAGCAAGCTGTTATCGATGTTAGAGTTTGTGACAACCACTGTAAGTGACTACTATTTATTATTGAATAAACATAACTTTCTTTATTATGAGCAAAATCCTTGTTATTTATATTAGGCTATTTGGATTATCAAATTAGATTGTTAGTTTTATCATTATTGTAAAGCTTATTGATTTTTGCTAGTACTTGTAAATATCTTTTCATGCTCATAATAAACTAGGAATTTTCATAAGTAGATTATTCTTATTTTATTATTGCATAAACTCTTGTACATTATTTTCATGCAATGAATGTTATAATTGCAAAGCATATCTATTTATGAAATAATCTTTTTCGTATTGAAACTATAAAATTATTAAAAATGTTTATGAAAATTTTGGAAAACTATATGCTTGGGTGCATTGATGTGTATGTAGATAAAACCTCATTAGTTATTGGCCAGCCGGGGTCGATGGGCCCCCAGACCGATGACTCTATAAGAAATCATTTGATTTCCTTGGATTGGTGTTTATCTTCTTTGTGATGGATATTTGATATATTGACTATAGTTATATGAATATAAATGTTTGAACAAATAATTAGATTAGAATTAAATTAATTCAAGGACTTAGATGTCATTGTGAGGTTCATATATATCTAGTGTGATGCATACATCAATAACTGATTGACATATATAAATGTATGCCATAATATATTGTAGAAAATATGGCATATCTCATGGCTATTTTGATATTGTGATTATAGATTACTACTCCCTTTTTAGTTGTTATATTGCATGCCCCACTCATTTGTAGTTTATGCTTTGATATATAGGAGTTACTTGCTAAGTTTGTCCTACATGCGTGTTTGATGGATCGCCGCCTTAGGAGCAAGGCTATTAGTAGAACACTATTTTTTATATTTATTACTTTGTAGTAGTTTGTTATGTTTATGATTTCTGTGAGTTAAGTAGTTTTTTTCCTAATTTTCGTTCTACTTATATTTTTTGTTGGCTTGTATTATAATTCTTATTATTTGGATGCATTGGTTATTTGAACTTTTATCAATAAATTGGCTCTTTATTTCACTTCCTATTATTATTATTATTATTATTATTATTATTTTTGTAAACAAGTTGAAAGTTTAGATCTGAACCCGACCTGTCGGGTTACTGGGTCGAATCCTCACGCAAACGCGCGTTACGCGCAGGCTGCACGATTGGGCCGTGGGAGAGGCGGGCGACTAAACGAGTCCTCTCTTAGTCGCGTGGTAACAAGAACCATTACGAATGAACCGAGCGACGGTGATGCGAAGCTAACCTAGGGTTCAGACTTCAGACCAAGCGTCGACGATGGGATGGCGGAGCTGCAAGAGAGGCGAACAACAAGGCTGGGTTTACTCTCGACTACGAGAAGTGGGATTTCTACAAGGGGAGTTAGGGTCAAGTATGTTCCTAGTCATTCTAGTGTTTTCGGGTCAAACCAAACCCAACCTAATTTTTGAGACAGGTCGATTTGTTAAATCTGAGCCTGACCAGCTTGACAAACGGGCTAATCCGAATCCGACCAATTTGACAAATGGGTTGATCCTAACCAAAAATTTTGGGTGGGATTCAAGTGGGATTTTCAAGTCATGTCAAATATTAAAACCACTACTACAAAAACACTGAAATAATATTTTAATAAAATATTTGCATTTTATACTGCTCTGACTTCGCATTTCACGGGCAGACAAATGGAGACATCCAACGGTTGAAAATCACCACGCTTTATTTGACTCTCCGATCGAGCAACCAAATGAAGCAATAGACGATTCTATAATACATATATATAAATATTAAAAGGGAAAAACAACAAAAACCTTTCGAATATCTATTTTTGTTAGAAGGAAGCATCCATTCGAGTTGGGAGAAGCTAAAAAGAAGAGGGCTTGGCTGAGTAACCTGTAACCCTAGAAAGAAGTCTTCTTCTTCAGGTGCTCATACTTCTCACTTGTTTTTATTTCCAATCCTGTAAAAATTCCATCTTTCGTCTGCTGGATCTGCGAGTAAGCTAATCTCCCTTAAAGTTTTAAAGTCTACTGTACAAAATTCCATCTTTCTTATGTGAATGATATCAAGCTGTCGAATTTCTTTTCTTTATTGTGAATCTGTGTTTGTATATTTGCTGTTATTGCTGTTATTTTTCAACTTTTTATGATTGTAATCCTAACAGGGTTGTGCAATGGAAGCCAGAAAGACAAAGGAAGATGCTGTCTTGGATGTGAAGCCTTTGAGATCCCTTGCTCCGATGTTTCCTGCTCCTTATGGATTCAACACCACATTTAGCTCTTCTGACTCGGCCCCTCCCTTTGTTTGTGTTAGTCCCTTTGGTGCCCCGTTACCTTCCGAGGACAGGTTTCCTTCTTTTTTCAATACTCCAGTTCCATCTTCTCAACCGGCCAAGGATCGAGCTCCTTCTGCCAATGGCTCTTACCAAGGGGCATCCCACTCACCAGTTGCCATTGACCTTGATGAAGAAGCTGAGCAACTTATCCGCACCTCCAGTTTTGGAAGGAAAATTAAGCGCCCTGGGAAGATGGGCATAAGTCACTATCACCTTGCCGGTGGTTCTAAGGCCGAAGGCGGCGGTGATAGGAGCAAGTCGCAGCAACGAAAAAGACCTCGAAAAATAACTGATTTATCATTGATCCGTCCCACGTCTCTTGATCCTAGGGAGTCGGTTGAGGTGGTTCTAATGACATTCGATGCACTCCGGCGGAGACTTCAGCAATTGGATGAGACAACAGATGCTAACAAACGCGCCGACCTGAAGGCCGGTTCCATAATGGCGGCCAACGATCTTCGCACTAACATGGGAAAAAGGATAGGATCTGTTCCAGGTGTAGAAGTGGGAGATATATTTTACTTTAGAATTGAGTTATGTTTAGTTGGAATGCATGCTCCAAGCATGGCAGGCATTGATTACATGATGACTAGATATGCAGACGTGGATGAACCGTCGGCAATCAGTATTGTCTCCGCTGGTGGTTATGAAAATGATGAGGGTGATGTTGATGTGTTGATTTACAGTGGCCAAGGGGGTGGAGGTGGCCACAAACATGCTGAGAAAAAACAGTTTGATGATCAAAAACTAGAGAGGGGTAATCTTGCTCTTGAGAAAAGCACTCATAGAGGCAATCTTGTAAGGGTGATTCGGAGTGCAAAAGATATGACTTTAGTTTCTGGTAAGATTTATATCTATGATGGGCTCTATAAGATTCATGAGTCATGGATTGAAAAGGGAAAGTCTGGTTTCAATGTTTTCAAGTACAAGCTGTTGAGGGAACCTGGACAACCGGAAGGTCTTGCCGTGTGGAAGCGAACGGCGGAATGGATATTGAATCCATCATCTAGAGGCCGAGTTATACTGCCTGACATATCGTCTGGTGTTGAAAATATGCAAGTTTGCCTTGTCAATGAGGTTGATGATGCCAAAGGTCCTAGCCATTTCACATATGCCACTAGTGTTAAGTATATCAGGCCCATCAGCTCCATGAAGCCTTTGCAAAATTGTCGTTGCCTTAGCGTCTGCCTTCCAGGCGATGCCAATTGCTCTTGCTCACAGCAGAATGATGGTAGTCTACCTTACAGCTCTAATGGATTGCTTGTGAACCGGAAATCGGTCTTGTACGAGTGCAATAGTTTATGTTCTTGCTCCTTTAATTGTCGAAATAGAGTGACCCAGAAGGGTGTCAAACTTCACTTTGAAGTTTTCAGAACTAAGGACCGGGGTTGGGGTCTTCGTTCTTGGGACCCTATACGTGCAGGCACCTTCATATGTGAGTACGCCGGTGAAATTGTTGATAAGATAGAAGTTGATGATTTTGGTGAAGAAGAGCATTATAATTTTCGAGCAACTTACCTTGACGAGAAGACACAAAAATGGAATCATGGCCCTGAGTTAATAGGCGAACCGAGCGTAAATCATAGCGAGATATTTAAGCCACTGCCTATAATCATCAACGCAAAGAACTTGGGTAACGTAGCTCGTTTTATGAACCATAGCTGTTCACCTAATGTCCTTTGGCAGCCAGTTTTATATGACCATAGTGAGGAAGGATATCCACATATTATGTTCTTTGCTATTAAGCACATTCCTCCAATGACAGAACTGACATTTGACTATGGTGTTAGTGGAGACAATGGATTGAGCTCTCTTGCTGGACTTAAGGAACCAAAGAAATGTTTATGTGGCTCACCAAAGTGTAGAGGTCTTTTTGGTTAATCTTGTGCAGAATATGCATGGAATGAAATCAAAGGTTAGAAATCATTTTGGTTATTCCTCCTTATCATTGTATCATTTGTTTCTGTCAGCTCAGACAATAAAGTTTCTTATAAAATTTTCAATTACATTCTTTATAGGGATTGAGAGTAAATGGAGCAAATATGTTGGTGATCAAATGTTTGACCAAAACCTTTGAAGGCTCTTTTTTGTAAAGCTTGCCTGTAGAAGGTGAAGCATTATATGCAAGACATCAACAGCAAAACCATGGAAAGAAAGTTCTTGGAGTAATATCCTGTAGCTTTTTTGTATCAGAAGCGAGCTTCTACTTCTAAATTACTTAACCAGGTTAGGATTGGCCATGACTTAGGACTTTTAAATCTGTAACCTTTTTTTCTGTTTTCTACTTCTTTTTACTCGGTGTAAGATATTATAGACTATGTAACATGTAATCTTTAGCCTATTTCTTATCACTGCTGATCCATCGTCTTCTTTGTGCTTGCATGAGCTTCCTTTGGCTTCTTGTTGGCTCCTTAGCTGCTTATTGTTTGTTCGGGATAGGCAGTAGTGTTCTTTTATTCTTTTGCTCTTTTGGCATATATTGCCATTAAAAGAGAAGCATAATACTAAGTTAAGCGTTGCAGAGCTGAGGATGCTTAGGTGGATGAGTGGCTTTACCCTTAGAGATAGGATACAAAATGAGCATATACGTGAAAAGGTTTTGAGTAGCTCCAGTGGAAGATAAGATTAGAGATAGTTGCTTTAGATGGTTTGTTCACATTAAGCGGAGGCCTTCTGATGATCCGGTTAGAAAAGTTGAGGTATTAGATTTGACTTATGTTAAGAAAAGTTGAGGTAGACCTAAAAAGATTTGGTTAGAAAATATTAGAAATGATCTTTCTTTATTAGATTTAAATGAGAATTTTACTTTTAAGAGGGCACAATGGCGAAAAAAGATTCATGTAGTTGACCCCATTTAGTGGGACAAAGGCTTGATGTTGTTGTTGCTCTTTTGGCATATATAGAGAGAGAGCTTTAATAGGGAGTCCTCAATCCTAGCAGTTCTATTCTTTTATGAGTCCTTTTTAGTCCTTTGGAATTTATTTTCAACTATTGGTACTCTGCCTAAATAGTCTGAGTTGATTTCTTACCTTTACTGTTGATTTATTATCACATTCCCTTAGATAAGAGTTCAAATAGGTCAAGTTGGGCTAAGCGGACCAATTCGCTAAAATGAGTGGGTTCGATGGTCAATTGAAGAAAGTTTAAACGTGATTATTTATTTGAAATAAGTTTCAATCATTGGCTTGGTCCAATTTGATCAAATAGACGAAATGATCGAAGGGATTCAAATAGGCTAACTTGAGCTAAGTGAGCAAATCGAACTTGATTCATCTATGGATAACCTTTTAGCATTGGTATAAGCTTTAAGCTAAATCAATTTGGCTAATTTGAATGTTCATAGGTCCATTTGGTTTAAATAGATGAACTTAAGCAAATCAATGATCAAAGGTCCAATTAGATCAATCAATTGACCTATTTGGCTTAATTAGGTTATGTCTAACATGTTAGAAGCTATTGAGACTAATGTCCAATGTTGATTGGGTTCATTGGTCTAAAGTGCTCAATTGGATTCATGGGTCAAGGAGATATAGATTTAGGTTAACGATGGGTCAAACTATGAACCTTAGTTCAAATTAGGTGATCTAATGGTTACTTGGAATCAACTCAAATACAGGAAGTCTTTGTGTCTGTAATAAAGTACAAAGTAGTCCAATGGAATTTATTTTCTAGATGAGATCTAGGAGTACTCATGATCAAATAGGACTAAGCTTTCATTTGGGAAAGTTTTTTTTTACTATTTTTAAAGTAGTTTTTTAGTATTATTTTTTTTCAAAAAATTATACTAAAATATTGCTTTATAAAATAGTATAAAAGTTGTCTCAAATGAAGCCTAAAGTTTCGTTCGGGATGGCTTTCTTACTGCTTAGCCTCATTTGGGACAACTTTCTTACCGCCTTTTAAAATAGCTTTCTAGTACAAAAATAAGAATTTTTGTACTAGAAAGTTGCTTTAAGAAGCAATAAGAAAGTCGTCTCAAACGAAACCTAAGAGTACTCATGATGATCCAAGAGTACCCAAAATTGGCCATGACCAAAAGCACCCAAAATGATCCAATAGTACCCAATCAGACAAAATCATGTGTACCTAGCGTGAACCAAGTGATAGTGATATGGAGCAGCAATAGAATGGAGTCATTATTGTGTCCGGACATCAAACATGTCCAGAGACCAATAACAAAGCGCCACGTCACTTGGGTGTTCGGTACCGAGCACTCGGTATTTGTCCGGATTTACGTAATAACTTTTGAATAGAATGATGCCTTTGTGTGTAGCTTGTTGCTATTTTCATTTTTGTATAGATTTATGGGTTTTTGTTTTTTATGTAGAGTTTGAAGGATCTGAACTTATTATTTCAGCTTAAAGGATATTCTATTTTTGTGTTTATTTGTTTTTATATACTGGTTGTAGGTTGCCCCTTTTTTACTCTTTATTGGTGCCTGAAAATTACATATTTGCATTAGGCTCTTAGGATAATTTTTTTTTACAAATTATAATAAAATGATGACAAACTTCAAAATTACTCTAGAATTTTTTTTTCTTAAAATTAATTGTATGGCTTCATGCTAACTTTTTAAAATTAAAAAAAATGTCCCTTATAAATATCTTTTAAGAGGTATATAATTGAGCTTACCAATGATAAAAACTCCCAAGTTTTGGATGATTTTTTAAGTGCTTCTTAAAGCAATTTTTTATTATAAAAATTAATATTTTTGCATCAGAAAACTGTTTTTAGATGTGGAAAGAAAACTAACCCAAATGAAATATTAGTCTTCGTTTGGGACAATTTTCTTAGTTCTTCTTAAAGCAGATTTTTAGTACAAAAATTCTGATTTAAGTAAGAAAGTCGTCGCAAATGAAACCTTAATAATAGATAATTTGCATACATATCATATTTTGCAACAATTATAAAGTTGTTAATGGATAGTTAAATAAATGTGCAACACTTGTTTGATTTGCCAAAAAATTACATGCACATAACTAATTTTAGTTTAAAGAGTTGTGCATGGATGTGCATATCACGTTAAATCTGATAGTTAAATATCTTCTTCTACATCACCTTCTTTTATTATTGTTAGGCTCGTAGAGTTCAAGAGTTGAAATGAGGGTTTGTATAGTATACAAAGCTTCAATTTCTATATGAAATTCAACTTTTAATAAGATTCTATACTTATTTGTTTATGGCGAGTTCTTTTTGGACTCATCAATGTATGTCACAGTTTTAGGGGTGGGCTCTTGTCATATTAAGGTTTCGTTTGGACAGCTTTTTTCTTGCTTCTTAAATCAGCTTTTTAGTAAAAAAAATAAATTTTTTGTACTAAAAAACCGCTTTAAGAAGCAGGAAGAAAGCCGTCTCAAACGAAGCCTAAGGCTAATATTCTGGCTTATTCATTAAAGCTATCCACCAACTATTGGCTCCACATTTAGAGGAAGGTATGCTACTATACCTAATGATTTATTTTAAAAATATTTAGGTATAATATGTCATCAAAAAATTGCCTTGATCAAGCACAAATCTTGATGCATATATGAATTAAGAACTTTCAAAATTAAATTCAGGACCATCCGAACTCCAATTTTAATAAACTTATAATCAAATTAAGCGTTTTAGTGAGATGAACCCAACAACCCCAAAATTGATCCAATCCGAACCTAAATGGACCAACATAAAAAGACAAAAAAAATATTTGAAAGTTTTAAACCATTAATTGGATAATCAAATGATCTCTAAATATGACATTCTTATAATTGAATCGAGCAGTTTGACGCGACATATCTAAGGAACCCATCCATGATCATTTAATTTGGATATTATTAAGTTAATTAAATGTCGAATGAATGCTATATGATCATGAGAATCAATATGGGTTGTCCAATGGAGCATTTTGAATTTAACCAAAATCTTTTTCATATTTATAGGGTATGACACTCCCAAAATCTATAAATAGACATCCTCTTCCTATGAGGGGCTTAAACCTTCGGTTAGAAACTCAAGAGAGCTCCAAGGGTTGAAAAATCTCAGAGCTTCACCCTAGCACTACCGCCACCAAACTCTTGCCACCAAGCCACCACTGCTGGACCTTTGTATGATCATCACCATCAAACTCCTAACATGTAGCAGTCATCAAACCTTCATCTGACCATCCTTGTCCCCCGATTACGATCCCTCTGACCTCCGTTGCCTGTTGACTACAGCTATCATTCGACCTCCGTCACCTGTCAACTACAGTCCCTCAAACCATAATCACTGTCGACTATGGTCCCTCTGACCACTATTACCCGCCAACAATATTCCCTCGCCGTCGTCAATTGGCTACGGTCCCCTCGACCTCGACCACTTGCTGACTACGGTCCCTCTGGCCTCCGTCCAATAGCCATTGTCCGACCATCATCGCCTGATGACTATGGTCCCTTTGTAACACTCAAACTCTTAACTATCGAGATATTATCCACTTTTGATTAGTTGTTTCACAATTTGTCTAGTTGATGGAACTTCCTAAGAGGTCACCCATCATAGGATTTCTCCAGGATGAGCACACTAATTGTGAAGTTTCTTAATGAAATTTTAACCATTACACAAAAAATGTCTCAATATTTCAGTGATTAGCTTCTTTTGATTTAAGGTGTTTCACAATCTCCCATACTTAAGTAACTCACGTTCTAGTTAGTATCTTTATCCTAGAATCATCCACTTGGCATATAAGATTCTAGAGGCGGCCCTTATAAGTTTAAGTGGTGACTCCTGCCACATAGCACTTTATTCTATACAAAGTTCAAGAGGTGGCTCCCTTGATGTAACATTTTATCTTGTATGGTACTTAGTTCCCATATTTTCGGGTGGTGTATTGCTCTGATACCATTTATAACAGTCTACAACTCCTGACTATCGAGATATTGTCTACTTTAGCCTTAAGGCTCATGATTTTTCCCTGTTGGCGTAACTTGCAAGGAGGTCACCATCTTTAGATTTCTCTAGGATGAGTAAGCTTAATTGTGGAGTTTCTCAATGAAATTCTAATAATTACACCAAAAAGCGTCTAGCTTATTTTTATTTAAGGGATTTCACACCCTCAGTCCTTCTTCGCTTTTCGAATGCAGTTCCTTCGACTCCATCGCATGCTGACTATAAACACTCCAACCTCTATCCCCCGTCAACTTCAGTCCCTCCATCCTCCTTCGTTCACCGGCCATGGTCCCTCCAACTTCCGTCGACTGCCGACTATGGTCCCTCTGATCTCAATCACCCGACTATAATCCCTCCGACCTCGGTTATCCGACTATAATTCCTTTGACCTTAGTCGCTCAACTATAATCCCATGGACCTCTGTCACCAAACTACGATCCCTTCGACCTCCGTCGCTTATCTGTAGTCCTACCAATCAAACGAACAAGTCAACATTCTTTTGAGAATAACTCTCATGTCACTGGATTCTCCAAACTCCAAACATATAATACGCTTTATATGATATAGATTTGCTACAATTTTTTTTATAAAATAACACTGAGATGATACATGATGCATATTTGCTACATTGAGCCAAGGCCTTCCCTAAGAAAAGGCATCATTTATAATTAATGACAAATACTGATGGATTCAATTTTAACTAGATAAAGCCCATTGTTTCTCACTTTTTAAGAGTTTTACCTGTAAAATTTTTAATATCTCTTATGACTTTTGCCCCTCTCTCCATTTATATGTGTATAAGATCTTTATAAAAAGTTTGAATATTAAAACTTATATTTCTTTACCATTATAAATATTTCAGGATGCAACATGTTCAAGCAATGCTTAAATTATAAAAAAAATTGTTTCTTTTAATAGAATTTAATAAATAGTTTAGCAAAGAAAAAAAATCAAAAGAGGACAAAAAAGTATTTGAAATTAAATTATTTTGGCAACAAATTATATTATGTTATAAATAAATAAATATATTATATTAAGGAGCAACTAGGCTAAAAATCGGGCCGAAACGTCATGGCCCGGAAAAATTATTAGGTTAGGTGACCTGATGTAGCTCTACGTCCGGTAGTCAATAATATGTCGCAACGTGCTCTTACTCTTTACCGCGCGGCCTGACGAATAAATAAATAAATATATTATATTCAGGAACAACTAGGCTAAAAATCGGGCCGAAACGCCATGGCCCGGAAAAATTATTAGGTTAGGTGACCTGATGCAGCTCTACGTCCGGTAGCCAATAATATGTCGCCACGTGCTCTTACTCTTTACTGTGCGGCCTGACGAGTGACGACCCGTCTCGCACCGGAATCCGGGATTACTATGTTCGGGTATTGCTCGGTATTGCTAGGTATTACTCGGTATTGTTTGACAATAACGAGAAATACCGCTCTGTGAAGACCAATACCGAGCAATATCAAATAATACCTAAAAGAACTCGGTATTGCTCTTCACAGAATGCTATTTTTCATTTTTGTCTAGCAAAATCGATCAATACCTAACAATACCGAGCAATACGTAAACTCCCGGGCCCATTTCAAATTGGGTTGTCGGACCGGTATAATAAATAGTGAGAACACGTGGAGCACTAGAGCCTTTTTGAACAAATAAAATTTCGTGTCCCGGGAACACGGGGAACACGAAAACCCTTGCGAGGTTCTGAGGGTTTCAAGAGCTCAAACCCGCGCGGGTGATACAGTGAGGCGCTGCAAGCAATGGCATTCTCTTTCTCTTCGTCTTCCCCGCTATTCCAAAGTTCCCAAACCCTAAACCTAACCCCAACAGCTGCCCAGCTGCCTCCGTCTTTCCTTACACAGAACCCGCAGTTTCCTTCCTTCGCCCAGCCCCAGTCGCAACAGCAGCCGCAGCAGCAGCAGGTGTACCTCTTTACGAACGATAGGTCACCTGCGAGTTACAACACGAAATTTGAGGAACTTCATTCAGATTCCCAGAAGTTCCTTCTTCAAATCGAGTTTGTTTACTCTTCATCTTTTTCCACTTCCTTTTTATTTCGCTGTCCTTTTTTTCGAGTTTTTCTTTATGCCCTATGGACATCATAGCGGAAATGTCATAGCTTTTTGTTATGCATAACATGAATTAACGTTGTTTAGAAAGCAATCATGGAAGTTCCTAGGGAAATTGTAACGTGACACTAGTTTGTAGTTCCTATTGCTTCTGTTCTGTTAGAGTAATAATTTCCTGCCATACTTTTTTTAACTTGATAGCTGGTCGTGGCTTTTAGTTGACTTCTGGATACCATTCCAAAGTTTCTAAAAGAAGGTTTCTTTTTTTGTTACTTTCATAGATGCTCTATTTGGTGTAGTTGAACTGGACGCTCTGTTGTAAGTTCAAATTTTTCTTGCAAGACATAGCGAAGATATTTCCCTTTTACCTGAAACATCTGAGTGTGTCTTAGCATTCTAAAGATGATGAACTTTTAGGTGGTTCTGCTGATAACACTTTAGAAAACCTATATTATGCCAAACTCTTATAGCTATGCACTATTCTATGTGCTTCTTAGTCATATGTTGTGAATATACGAGAAAGATGGATGATCCAGAATTCGGTGGCCTTCTCCATTTCATATATGAGGTCCAACATTATGTGAAGGGTTGGTTTCTTTGATGCAGATTTGGATGGAATCATTGTAAAGAGACTATAAATTTTAACAGAAGTATTTTATGTAAATTGGGAAAATCAATACTGAATTACTAGAGATTCTAGAATTCAAGAATTCTAATAACTTGAAATAGCTTAACCAACTGCAAATGATACAAAAACCTTGAATTTGAATTATAAAATTATTTTGCTGGAATGCCTTTAGGATGTAGATAAAATTCCAGTAACTCTCTTCTTTATGTACTCTCATGGATGTGAAATTTTGAAAATGCTGTTGTATGGACAATACTCCTTTTTCTTTGAGCGATTGAATGAGATGATTCAACTGATCCTTTATCATTGTCTTGTCTTATCCAAGGCTCACATGTGGCCTGCCATGCTTAATGTTCAAGCCCAACTTTGATCTACCCAAAACTAGTCCAAAGATAGCCAAATTGGGCCTAAATTGTCGACTCAATGGTCTGTGCTTGTCCAATTAGATGAGACTGTTCATTCCTAATATACCTAGGATGTTGAAGTTCCCAAATCACTCAAGTTTGTTAGACTTTCTTACTTTTTATGGACTTACTGAAATAAACCTTTCATAAATTTATCTTCAGCTGATGCTAAGGCCTTTGATCAGAAATTTGAAGTGCTTTGTTTCTTATGTCTTGCAAGTTTGTTCATTTATGTTTGAGGGTTGCACTTTTTCTGAGAGTAGCTACGCGTAATAGTAATTATGCAAATTATTCAGAGTATGTTTGGTGAGTTCATTTGATTAATGATGGTACCACTTCTCATGTGTTTTTAATGATGCCCTCCCTATATGTTAGCAGTTTGTAGTATTTTTAAGTGTAATGGCACTCCTATGTCATATTAGTTTTCTATTTTATGAAATGCATCATTAATTGTGCAAAGAAAATTTATTGACATCGATTCTTTTTCCTTTTTTTTAGGGCTCTCCTGATGGTCCTTTAAATTCCTTAAGATGACCTTTTTGTCTTCGTGGCTGAAGCACCTAAGATGATATCTTTCTACTTAGGTGTTTCATGTTTTCAAGATACTTAAGAGTAATGGAATTTTTTTGGAATATTAAGCATGCTCTAAGCATGGGACTTTTCAATTAGAACAGTGTGACATGTGCTAGTCTATTGGTTATGATCATATGATGTAATGTCATGTCCCTGTCTTGTCCCGGAAGCTTGGAATAGCAAGCTTGAAACAGACAGTTGGGATGAAATTTTAATTACTTTTACTTCATATTTCTTATAAAATCATCCAAATTCAAAGGAGCTAACTACATAGTAAACTTCTATTTATTAACATCTCATAATGTATGCCGTTATCTTTGATTTCTCTTCAAAAAATATATTTTCAAAAACATAAACTAATACATATAATATTTTTATAATACTTAGCTTCTATTAATATCCTCTTTTTGTGCGCGACCTCACTTCTTTCACCTATTTAGGTTGAAGGAGATTTTTTCTGAAATTTTTTATCAATTAATGGGTGAGTTGAACAAATCAGCAACTAATTATATTTCTAAATCATAGAAATTCAATTAGTATGCATGCAGATCTTTCTATGTAATTTATTAAACACTTCAACTTAACAAACAAAATAAAAAACATTTGTAACTTACACAATGGTAGAATAAACAATTGTTAGCTTTATTTTTCATTTAAATGTCTTATGTTATAATGCACAGCATCGTCTAAATTGTGCCCTTAAAGTACATCATCTCATAACCTTTTTCAACCTAATCCCCCAAGCGTAGGTAATCCTTTTCCTTACCCTTTATGTGAAGGTATAATATGTCCTCAACCATTACTATAAAGGGTGGCTCCACCATTTAGCATGCACATGCAATCACTCCTATATTATCCTCTTATCATGCATTTATTTTATATTATTTCTTTTGCTTATCATATCATGAGGTAATCATTTGAGATTCAAAATATGAAAAATGCTGCTTGACATTCCTTTCAATATGAGGACTTCATAGATAAAAAAAGAATCAACTTATATGATGGAAATATAACTCTGGTGATAATCAGAATATTTCTCAATGCATAACTCTTTCTTATCATTTCATGTATGCTTAGTCATAATTAGTTATGCAGAAAAGATGTAACTCTCCAGTTTATTGTCCTTTTAGTTCAACGTGATGCATGTGTTGTAGTTCTCTTGACTCTGGGGCTTAAATCTTATATCGAATCAATTAATGCCCACCTCCTATTTCTTTACCATTTCCTTTTGGTTTTTTAATCACAGAGAACGCATAATGGAGTACAAGGATGAGAGCCAAAGGTTAGAACAGAATAGTCGACTTTATGGCTCCTCAATGTCAAGTGATAGTTTTGAGCTTGATGCTAGCCATATATTGCAGGTTTAAAGTTTTCTTTCAAATTACCTAGTTTGTTTTTGACATGCGCACGTGCATATACACCCACTGCAACTTCAGGTCTATATTAGTTTATTGTCATTTTGAGGTTACAGGCATTGCAAGATCCTTTATGTTACTTTCTAATTAAATAACCTTGCCAGTACTAATTTGTATGTTAATTACGTTTCTTTGGCATTCCTTTTGATTGTCAGTCTAATTGTTTGCTAATATGGTTTTGTTTTTCTGGTAAAATGAATTCATACTATTAGCTTGTTGTTGCGGCAAGCATTGTATAATTGATAATAAAATGTTAAGGGGAAGGAAATATTAAGGTTTCTGAATTTACTCATGCCATATCTATATTTAGCAATAATTTTTTGCCAATTTTATTTCTTTTCTCTTCAGTGTAAAGGTTAAGTCACTCTATGTTACTTTCTTTGAGCATTATCTGTACCTTGAACCTGAATCACTTTTGGCCCTTTTTTCATTCATATATATGTCATATCAACATTCAATGTTAGGGCAAAGTATCGTTGCTGGTGCTTTTTAGTTTTTGCGTTATGATGATGTTTTCGTACTTGCTGAGAAATTTAATGAATATTTTAAACTTTGAAGTTAACCATAAATCCTAAATGTGTTTAAGCTCGTAACTGCTTATATTTATGCCATATTTTTGCGTCTCACCTGTATTTAGCTGCAGTCCAGAGTATTTATTTGTATTGCAATATTAAATGCAGTAAATTTTTTATTTCTTAATTGCTTCTGTTTGTCGCAGCTTTGGTTATTTTTTTTCCATCATCCATTTGTAGCTGTGAAAATTCTGAGTCTGTTTTTACTGTTTAGGAATTAGGAGGAATCAGCGCTGCTATGGACAGGGAAAAGTTTGTAGTGCAAGAACTAATGTCTGAAGTGAAAAGCATGATGTGGAACACAGAAGTAGCTGTGCGTTCATATATGCTTATTAGGCCAAGATTTGTTCGGCCAAATTCAGATAGTGTCCCTGCAAGTAATGCTTTGGCGGGTCCTATAAGTTCTAGCCCCAGCAATCAAATGGCAAGTAGTTCTATGGCACCTCTCTATGATTTCTATAGCGGGTTCCCAAAGAGACCTTCTCAGTTTATGCAGTCTTCAGTTACTCAATTTGAGAATTACCTTTCTGAGTGCCGTCAGTGGGTTGAAGAGTTAGAGCAGCTTCTACTACTAGATAGTGAAAAGAACTCTTTGAACTCAGGGTCATCATTACAGTCACTACCTAACATTATGTCAAATGTTCATGATTTCTTTGTTCATGTTGCTGCCAAGGTAATATCAGTTAACTTTGATAACATTTACATCCCTTATATTCGCATGTATTCTTGTTATGATATGTACCTATATTCATAAAACACACGAATATGTGATGACTTGCTGCATAACTGATAATTTTATTATGGATGAGTATATCATGTATGTACTACTGTTCATTGGAAAAAAAATATAATTTTATTGTTCATAGGAAAAAAAAAAATAATATGAAGCAATTGTAGAAAATTGCTAGATTAAAAAGGGTAAAAAATAAAGTACAGTAGCAAAGCTAAGAAGAAATGAAGCCCAGTAGAGAAGAGGTCCTATCCTAAAAACGCTCAACTTGAAGTATGGTATATTTTAGAGAGTAGTGATAGGTTTTTTTTTTTTTTCTTCCTCTCTTGACATATAAAATTTGAAACTTTTTACCCACGAGTTTTTCAATAATATAAATGCTAATATCAGAGCCAATAGTCAAAGATTCAGGGTCACCAATATCCCCAACAACAATTTGATCAGCAGGAGTAGAATTTTCTGGTGGGTGTGGATCATTAGTATTTTGGTAGGTGCGGTGCCAATCACTATCCTTGGGTTTACTTCTAGTGTATGTACTAATTCCAATATATGATCTAAGTTCTAATGTGGGTTCAAAAATTGTCGGTAAAAAATAATCAAAATTACTACTATTGCATTAGAAGGTTGGCTTTTGTTAATTGAACGCTCCCCAATGTTATGATTTCTTGGAGTTGTACTTAGTTTTGGATGTTCTGAGAAGTTGTGATAAAAAATTGCACAAAGGATAATAGGAAGGAATATCTTCAAATTTTACTTTTTGTCAGTAGTCACGGGTGGTGAAACTAGTCTAAGTATCCTTCTCCAAGGGGATAGTAATGCCCATTTCCATCAGATTTCTAGCCATAGGCAGATTTAGAGGCCTAGTGTAGCATCATCCACCTGAAGCGGTTTAACAAAAATTGAGCCAAGAGAGCACAAATGGATTGTTTGAAATAGTGAATCTAAAGACAAGGAAAAGCAACTTGTTGAGGTGTTGGTATGATAATTACATGTGTGTGAAATCATTAATTTAATTTCAAGTATCTATCTTATTGTTGAGGTGCTTGAGCTCCTCAAAATAGCCAAACATAGGAGCTATGAGTGAGTTGAACTTGTTGGGTGTGTTAGCCATCCTTCATTTTTTTTTTGAGCTAAAGTAATTTCTCTACCATAGTAGGGAAAAAGGTAAAGAATTTAAATTTTGGATATAATTTAAAATAACAGAAGGTAGGGATAAGATTCCATGCATCCCCTAGAAAATCTAATCCCAGTAATTTCACTGTTCAACACTAATTTTTTCAACCATTCACAGGGTAAACATTATCTTGTTATTTGCTTCAAATGTTAGTCATAATATGCCATAGATGCAAGAAGTTGGGACATACATCCAATTATTTGTCTACGTTTTCAAGAAGAGAAGTTGTCGAGGAAGATTTTTTTTTTGGCAATTATCAGATTTTCTTAATCTTTCAGCAACAAAATCAGAAAGTGGGTCTTTTTTGAAGATCTTAAATGGAATTGGAACAAATATTGGATTGTTTGTTTCACTTTCATCATGTTGAGCTCTTTCTTAATCCATAAAAGTTCTTGACTCAATCGTGAAAAAAGGATGCGTCAAACTTAGTAGCTTTACTATCATGGTCAACAAGTGGGATTAGAGTATTGGTAGCTCTCACCTAAACAAATTTAGGTTGGTATTCATTTGTTGCTCTTTTGCTTCTGAAGTTGTTTCTCTCTTGAATTTGGGAGACTAATTTGTAGGAGTGTCAATATTTGACACGGCCTGAAACCTAAATCCGAATTTTCCGGGTTCGAGCCAACTCGTTTGTCATATTGATCAGGTTCAGGTTTGAAGTTTTAGCCCGTTTGGGTTAGGTTTGAGTTGACCTAGAAACCCAACAATGACTCGAGTTGACCCGCCATCCCGCGCTCAAGAGCCTCGCATTTTGACCAGTGCTTGCCAGTCCTCCCTTATGATCTCCATCCTGATCCCTCGCTCGCCGCTCGAGTGACCACGTCGGCTGCCTGCTACCAGTGTCGGACCCAAACCCTCATCGGTTGCACCCAAATCCTGACCGAATATCCCTAGGCCGCCTCCGCGAGGCTGCTCCAGCTGCCCACATCTCGTCCGGACTCTGGACCCCCTCCTCAATCGACTCGTCTGCTCCCGCATCGCGTACGTGGAGTCATGCGTGTCTATTGCCATGGTTCACGTGTCGGGTTAGGTCAACCTGGAAACATTTGCGGGTCGTGTCCGGGTTGGAATTCTTGACCCGTTTGCAAACCCGTGTCGGGTTAGAGTCAACCCTTTTAGACCCGGGTCAATTTTGGTTGGGCCTTAACCCGACCAGTTTTAACACCCCTACTAGTTCGTATGGATAAGCACACCATTTCCAGAGAATCTTTGTAGAAGTAGAAGATATTTCTTTTATCTCCTACTTTTTTATTCACTCAAAAGATTTCATTTACATTGCTTATATTAAATTTATAAGTACTTATACATCTTACTATCTTATTTCTTCATCCATCACAAGTCGTCGTTGTTTCATCAATGTCTGTAGTTTCGAGATGATGACATATTTGGAAGGATATCATAGATGATGGCATATTTGGAAAGATAATATCCATATATACTATTATGTTAACCTCTAACTAACCAGGAGCCCACAAGCCTACGATCTCACATAACCCCCCCCCCCCCCCCCCCCCTCCCCCCCTTTTTCAAAAAAAAAAAAAAAAAAAACTTTCTCTTAAAAGGTTTTGCTTGATCAATCGGTAAAACATCTGCAAACCAAAAAAAATTAAAGGGTTTGATATTAAAGATCTATGAATCCGGAATAGTTCTCTTCTATTGATGTAGACAAGAAAATTTGCCTACAAATTCAAAATTTGCAAGTCTTCCAAAATTGACCTACTTCAAACCAAATATATTGAAAAAATGACTAATAGGACGACTTAACGACAAAACTATAAATTATAGATGATATGATAACAAAGACACGTTAAAAGACACTTAAAAACCTAATACATTGATAATAAGATAAGTTGAGAAGAAAAATACAATGGAGTGGTAACCATGGAGAGGAGGTTAGAAGATCAAGACGAAGTTATAGAAGAAGGAGAAGAAGAAGAGGCATAGCTCGCAAGCTATCCAGAAAACCCTAAGGTTTTACATTTTCCAATATTGTTCACACAAAACATCTTCTAAAACAGCCCAAAACAATCCTTTATATAGGAGGAAAAAAGAAGCCCAAAAGCCTGCAAAACAACCCTCATAAATTGGAGAAGAAGAGTCCCAAAAGTCACCATAAATTAGGAATTCCAAAAGCCAAATCAGCCGCCCACTCAAGCCAACTAGTAAAGAGAGAAAAAAGGCAGCATTAAAGGCTCCTAGAAGTTGAACCACCACAATCATGAACCGGGATAGAATAGGAACCAAGGGACCTAGGCGGAGGAACCGAACAGCCAAGCGGGCAGGAGCCGAACAGCCCAGCAGGCAAGGAATCGAACAAGCCCAGTATGCAGGGAACCAAACAACCCAGCAGCCAGGGAACCAAGATAGCCATGCAGTCAGCTAATCAGCCGGTTCTTCCCATTTTGCTTGTGTCAATTCTCCCCTATTGAAAGAACCTCATCTCCTGATGAGTTCGATTCATAATTTTCTTTGTTAAATCGAACCAATTCTTTAATCATAGCAACATGTTTCTGTTCAATCAATTCCTTTTCTTGATTAAATTCAGCAAGAAGTACCTGAGTTCTTTTCTCAAATTTCTTATCACATAAGTACATCAATCTTTGTATCTTGTAAAGTTCATTTTGAATCGGGTCTGTTGAATCTCCTTCAGACGAGAGACTGCTGTCTGTTGGAATGCCAACTTCATGAGTACTGGGCAATGGAGTTTGACTTTCAACATTGGAAGGATCGTATTCATCTTGAAATTCTGTTGGCTCTTGACTTGAGATTCCCATAGGATGATGGTTTGGATTGCTCATTATTGTGTGTGTGTATATATATAAAGACTCATAAAAAGACTTGCACACAACCTAAAGCTCTGATATCATTTTGATGTAGACAAGAAAATTTGCCTACAAATACAAAATTTGTAAGTCTTCCAAAATTGACCTACTTCAAACCAAATATACTGAAAAAATGACTAATAGGACGACTTAACAACAAAACTACAAATTATAGATGATATGATAACAAAGACACGTTAAAAGACACTTAAACACCTAATACATTGATAATAAGATAAGTTGAGAAGAAAGGAGTGATAACCATGGAGTGGAGGATAGAAGACCGAGACGAAGTTATAGAAGCAGGAGAAGAAGAAGAGGCATAGCTCGCAAGCTATCCAAAAAACCCTCTGGTTTTACATTTTTCAAATATTGTTCACACAAAACATCTTCTAAAACAGCCCAAAACAATCCTTTATATAGGAGGAAAGAAGAAGCCCAAAAGCCCACAAAACAGCCCTCATAAATTGGAGAAGAGGAGTCCCAAAAGTCACAATAAATTAGGAATTCCAAAAGCCAAATCAGCCGCCCACTCAAGCCAACCAGAAAAGAGAGAAAAAAGGCAGCATTAAAGTTTTCCAGAAGCCAAACCGGGACAGAGCATGAACCGGGACAGAGCATGAACCGAGGGACCCAGGCGGAGGAACCGAGCAGCCAAGCGGACAGGAGTCGAACAACCCAGCAGGCAGGGAACCGAACATCCCAGCAGACAGAGGAACCGAACAGCCCCAGCATCCGGGGAACCGGGAAAGCCATGTAGTCAGCTTGCCACCCGGTTCTTCCCATTTGGTTGCATCATCTATCTAATTGAATTTGAACATCTATTCATCTTGACTTGAACTCCTAAGTCAGTAAAATCATAAACCAGTAATATAGTAACACTCACCTGACTTGTAGTTGGGCAAGATTACGCCTGATTCTCAATACATAAAAAGAGTTAGAATAGC